CTTCCTCATCGCACCCGCTACAATCTGAAATCATCTCAATCACTTTGAGTTAGTTGCTGATTCCCTCCCATCCCTGGACTGTATGTTCTGCAAGAGCCCTTGCCTGGGTGTCTTATTTGGCACAGAATGAAATGACTGTTCATTCCCTGGAGCTGACAAGGTGCTGCTTCGTCTGGGAGATTTCCTAGGCAAATGGCTCACCACTTCCTGGGAAATTCATTGTTAGAGACAGTTTACATGGTTACGCAATATTTTGCTTGTTTTGTTTTAAACTCAAGAAATTCAAAAGTCTGATTTTTCCTCCCTTCACGAAGGCAAAAAATGTACCAAACCCCAGGGACTTCAGTGCCATACGCCCAGTGTCTCTGGCAGCGCCATGCAGCCCGACGCAGTGCGGGCCTTTGACAGAGCTGAGTAAGTGGAGGACGGTCATTAATGCGTTTGGCAAAGAGCAGGCATTCAATAGATGTTGTTAATCAGATAAGGGCAAACAAATTTTAAAAACAAAGATGAAGTATCTATTGGCAGGTTTTATACTTTCTTCATTGTTAATTCATTAAAAGGAAGTTTCCTACCCATAACCCCTTTGACTACAAAATCACATGAAAATATACGGAAAAAGGTACATGATCAACAATATCAAGGTTTTCCATTCAGGGTCCAGAACCAGTTGACGAGTCAAAGGCTTTTGAAGTGAGTGGCCAATAGTTTAAAGAGAAGACTTTAGCAGCTATGATATAAAAGAACAGATTTTAAATACAAATCTATGAGAGAGTTCAGTTTAAAGAGTATAAGGCTGACAAGGTTATTAAATAATTAAGAAATCAGGGACTGATTTCTGGGCTTTTCACTACAGACAGGGCAAGCCAAAGGATATTTGTCTATAGTGTCTGGGGATTGTCTGCCAGACCCCATGAAGGTGGCTGCGGGCTGACAGCAACGGGCTTGTCTGCGGAGGGGTCTGAGCTGTACCCACCCTTTGGCTCCAGGGGGCCGCAGGCGTCTGTCTGCAGGCAGTGCTGCAAAGGGTACAAGGCCTCAGGGGATCCAAACACAGAATGGGGACATTTAAGCAGCTTGATCCCCTAAGGTTCTGTTTCAACAGCAGGCAAACAGGATACAGGGAACTACCAGTGGGTGGGTGCTAGAGCTGATTATTTCCCCCATAGTGTATGGCCTGTGCAAGAACCATGGTTGAATCTGCAAGGGATCAGCACAGAAGAGGCATCCTGGAAGCAGACAACAGGTGAAGATACGAATTAATGAGATTCCCCATAATTTTTCAAAAGGATCCGGAGTGCGTTAGATGAACTAAGGAGCTAACCTATGCTACTCACGACATATCATCACCATGAGTGGACTAGCTAACACCAGGAAAGCCCACGACGCTGGCTTTCACAAGCCGAGCCATGGCCAACACATTCGAACGTCCAGGGTGCAGGGCCCGGTGAGGAGGCGGAAGCAGAGTTTCAGTCCTCACTCAGGCCCTTGGCCAGGAGCCACCTACATGGTGCAAGTACACAACCTGCAGGAAAGCCTTAGGGTCAGGAAAGTGTCTGTGAAGCGCAGCTAATGGAAAAAATAATACATATTTAAACCACACATCTAACTCCTAGCGAACCTTAAAGCAATCAATCTTTTTTAAATAAGAAAGAAACTAAGTCAATAGCATCTGAGCAACAGATGAGAATTAAAGCAAAACCTCTTGGCTAATGGTAACAGCTTTTGTGTTCTTTGTTGTTGAAAATGTGCATGCAGCAGAAGCGCCAATATGCTCACCAACTCGGATGCGAAAGGCTATGGAAAACAGTTGCTATTTTTACACCGGCGATAAAATCAAACACCACCTTTCAGATCTTAATTTTGCTGAAATAGTAGAAGGGAGCAAACCCCGCGTTGCTAGACGTCTGAAGGACGAGGAGGCCCTGCGATTTCTACCAGAGGAAAACAGAGCGCACGTTATAGTCACCAACCACACAAAAAGCCAGCTCTGTGTTGTGGGCAATGGAGTAAGAACCTGCCGAATCCAATCATCTGAAATAAAATACAAAGTTAAGGCTTAATTTAGTAATATTCTAGAAAATGGGAAGCTCTAACAGGTTTTTTGTTTTTTGTATTTGTAGACTACTCTGGTTAAACCTGTGTAGTTTTTTATTAACACCCTAAAGAGGAACTTTTTTCCTTATAAATTGCTATGACATTATAGTAATAGCTGTGATAATAATGATATAAGTTTTCTGCTGACAGTGTAAAATAGTAGGACAAACTTAGTGGCTTTGGGCTGAAATGAAGGGGTTGGCGGCCCGCCGTCCTTTCCGGAGGCTCTGCAGAGACAGCCCACGTCCTGCGTCTCTGCCTTCCAGAGGCTGCCCGCCTTGCTCGGCTCATGACCCCCCTCAGTCTCAAAGCCGGCAAATGTGTGTTAATTCCCTCCATACTGTTCTTCCACAGTCACATCTTCCTTTTAAGGCCCCTGGTGATTACCTTGGGCCCACCGGGGAAGAGCCAGGATGTCACCTGATCTACGGTCAGTTGATCGACAACCTTCACTGTCCTGTGCCAGCAACACCACACTCTCCCAGGCACCCGGCGAAACACGCACACCGTTAGGTGACGCTACTCTGCTCACCGCAATAATGAACACTTATGGAAAGTTCACTACTTGCCAGGCACTATTCCAAGCACATTACATGTCATTAAACAAGCGTGACACTCATAATAATTGTGGATGCCGTTATGACTCCTAGTTTCAGATGATAAGACCGAGGCACAGAGGGACTGAATACCCCCTCAGCGTTAGGTGGCTAGAAAGTGGGAGAGCCAGGCCCGAGCCCAGGGGTCCCCACGCACGGCCTGCTCTTCCCCCAGCGCTTCACGGCCTGTAAACTCTGCTGACTGTAATCATACTGGGAAAAGGGTAACTTTAAAACTCAAAATGTCAAAAGGAAAGAGACTATGGAGACCAGGAAGAAAAACAGACCAACATCTACTGAGAGATTTGTCCCGTGGTATCAATACTATCTGTGTCCCTTAAATGTCACCATATATACATGTACAGCTAAACCGGACAAAAGTAGGTGGGGCAAGTGAGTACGTGAAATGCAAAGTTTTTCTTGTATTATTTATTAATCATTGTATTAGTTTTCCATGTGAACTGTAAACCTACTTTTGCTCCAACTTGTACATGTGTATGTGTGCACATATAAAGACTGAACAGAGAGGATATACATATGAATAACAGACATCAAACGGAACTTTCCATTTCTGTCTGAAATTTCAGTCTAAGATCCAAACACTGAGAACATCTGATGACAAGTACCACTCAGCATCTTTAAGAGAGAGATCCCCTAAGAGCTTAATACGAGGGCCAAACGGATTCACCAACTATCAGCTCCTAACTCACCTGCAGTCCACGGAGGAGGGCAGAGACTGAGAGAGAGGATTTCTGTGATGAGAAATTATAAGGGTAAAGAAAGTAATGGACAGGGGTGTTTCCACCCCTCATCGCCAACAAAACAAATGTGGCTGTAAAGCCCCCTAGAGAGTGTGAAGGCAACGGCACGACAGGACACTGTCCCACTCCTATGGGTTCGCTCTGTGACCGGCACACACTGACTGACCTTCCCCACATGAGAGCGTTCTGGGGAGAGTTGGCACGTGGCCTTCGAGTGCGGGGGGCACAGAGCCGTCCTTGACTCTGCCCGGAGAATTCCGAAGATGCCAGGCTGGCTGGGACATCCCTGGCAGGGTGAGGAGGAAAGGGAGCAGTGACAGCAGACTGGACTTCTGTCATTTGGAGGCACCAGAGATCATAATCCCAGCGAGGCGAGTAGACACTGTAGAAGGAAGTCAGGCTAAGCCTCGAACGGAAGTGCACCAGCTGGGGCGAGGAGACTCATTTAAGACCAGAGGGTCTCAGGGAGTCAGGGAGAAAAGGAAACTCCTACAGCAGTGATTGGTGCAGGAGTAGCCCCCGGGAAAATGCACAGAAGTGGTCCACAAAGGACCACATAACAGCACGACTATACCAGCCAAGTAAAACTCTGTCCTCGGCAAACAGTGCCCCTCCCTCCCCGGGCTGCAGAGACTGAGAGGCGGTGTTTGGCCTGGTCACTGGTCACTGCTCGCGAAGTCTTGCCTCACACCCTGCGGTGTAGACAGCAGGTGTGCAGCCTCTGCAAGTGGAGGAGACGAGGCTCGGGGATTAAGTGATGTGTGTGAAGCCCAGTGGCTGCTGTGTGGGGAGGGTCACGACCTCAGGCCAGGGCCACCCGACTCCAGACCCAGGGACATCTCCGCTGGACCACAGAGCCTCGCACACACACCTAGAACCCCGGGGGTGAGGAGGGAGGTGGGTTCATTCACCCTGTTTTCTCCAATTCAAAGACATTGTCCTAAAGGTCATAATGTGGGACCCACACTGAACTGACCAGCACAGCACTGTGGCACCAAGGGCAGCAGAAGCTGCTCACATCTCTGAGAGCAGACACACTTCCTGTCACCACCATCAGTTTCCCGGTCACCCACGAGCCTCTTCTGCCTCCGCAGACAAGGGGCAAGCATGCTCTCACTTTAAAGTTTGTGTTGTTATTAATCCTCACCTGACTGTTTAAAGAGAGTGAAAGGGAGGGGGAGGGAGGGAGGGAGAGAGGGAGAGAGAGAGAGAGAGAGAGAGAGAGAGAGACATCCATGTGAGAGAGACATACTGAGTGGTTGCCTCCTGCATGCACCCCAACTGGGGCAACCCAGGCACATGCCCTTGAGCGAGACTCAAACCCGAGACCCTTCGTTGCAGACGCTGACGCTCTAACCACTGACCCACACCAGCCAGGGCCAGTTTAAATTTGTGTGCATTTAACCAATGAGGAGGGAAAGCTTGCATTTTTCCCCCTAAGTGCACACAAATGGGCGATTTTACCAGGAGAAACAAACACACAAACAAACAAACAAACAAACACATAAGAAACAAAACTAACTCAGCTTGCAAAGCAAGTCCATACCTCAGCATGGCACCAAACCCCTTCCTCTTTATTTTCCTGTCCGGATCTTCATTTTCCTCTTTCTGCTTTTTCTCCTTGACTTTCAGTTTGCCCTTTTCCTTCTTCTTCTCCTTCTCTTTCGGTTTTTTGACTTTCTTGGCTTTATTATCCATGTCCTCGAGCTCTGAGTTCCCCTGAGGGGCAGAGTCACAATTCAGAGCTCCTCGGCCGGAGTGAGAGCTCTTATCGGACAGTCCATCTGCACAGAGGGAACAAAATCAATACACACGGTCAGGGGCACCTACTGTCAACGTATCACGAAAAGTTACAATGTGAAATGCAGAAGAATGAATAAAAGCAATCTGGAGTCCTACCCTTCCATGTGGCTCCCTGTACCCTGGGAAGAGACCACTGCCTAGGTCTGGTGTCCTCAGGCAGGTGCGGTGTTGGGAGTGGAGAGGACCGGGTGCCTAGCCCGCGGTCTGAAAGGTTTGATGGGTAGGAACACACGCTCCCTCTGAGAGCCCGCTTTTTAACCTGGTCGGCCCAGGGCGCACATGCCCGAAACAAACAAGACGAGTTGTTTCTAGGAGAGGCGACTGAGTACAAAAATAACGCTACTGCTTCCACCCAATTAATGCAGTTAGGCCCCGGGTTGACGTGGCTTCTAATGACTCCAATAAGAATGTCAAGAAACGCTACTTAGTGCTCCACCCTAAGGGTAGATGACAGGCGGTCCTCGCAGGAACGACAGAGCACGTTCCTTAGCGTTCGCGCTGCAAAATAAATTGCACACGGCCTCATCCAATTCCATGCTCGTTAAGCCAAAGGGCAAAACATATCAGGAAAATGAATTACTTTTAATATCAAAAATATAATTGGGATCCTTAAATCATTTTTCTCTGCAGTTAAGCCCACGTTCTTGCCTGTGATTCGTGGGTAACAGCGAGAGGGAGAAACCATCTAAGGAAGCACGTGGCCCTACCGGCTTCTAACTCCTCGGGTCCATCGTAGGACTTGTCAATGGCTGCTCGGAAGCTTTCGTTGCAGCCGCGGCCGCGGACCATGTGGGGCCGGGGCCTGTGGAAGGGGAGTTCGTTCTTCCTGACCTCGGCAACCGCGGTCTGCAGGCTCTCCAAGGAGCTGGACTTTTTCAAACCCAGAGTTGGACCGAAATCTTTGCTTGGAGATTCTGGAAAAGAAAGGGCAAAAGGTCACCTTTTTTCTACCGAGGCAGAGTGGTGACCTGGAAAGGTTTATTGTTCCCAAAGTACTTCTGTTTGGGCATCTTACCCAAAGGGGTGTTAAATGGGTGGCAGTTGGGGTAACCCCCAGCTTTGCCGCTTTTTGTGACTTTGAGCAAGTGGTTTGATGTCTTCAAGCCTTAGTTTCCTTTTGTATAAGGTTGTGGTAAGACTTAAAATGAGATCATATATAGAAATAAATATGTATGCATATATATGCACACGCACACATATATATAAATTGGAAAGGTTACAGCAGTCTACAGAGATTATATGTATGAGTGTGTGTATGACTGTGTGTATAAGCACTCACACACTCACACATGTACGTACACAGAGCACCCAACAATGAATGCTTTACTCCCAGTACCCATCTCTGGCACTCCATGCATTGTAGCTTTTATTTCCATCACTGTGTTTATAATCAATAAATATCATACCATGCACAGAAATCAAAGAACACTGAAGTGACTGCAATATTTGTGGTTAAATACTTTACCTTAATCTGGTGCCTATTAATATATAGTGAATGCAATTTATTTATTTATTTATTTATTTATTTATTTATTTATTTATTTATTTATTTTATCCTCACCCAAGGACCTTTTTTCCATTTTTAGTTCAGAGAGAGTGGGAGGGAGAGAGAGGAAGAGAGAGAGAGAGAAACATCAACGTGAAAGGGACACATCGAGTGGCTGCCACCCGCATGACCCAACCAGGGCCAGGGACAAACTGCAACTGAGGTACGTGCCCTTAGCAGGAACCGAACCTGGGTCTCTCAGGACCACAGGCTGATGCGCTAACCGCTGAGCAAAACCGGCCAGGGCAATTTTGTTTTAGTCTATAGATAAATAAAACAAAGCCAGAAAGAAAACAAGTTTTCTGTATGAATGCTGTTGTTACAAATTATTTCTATTTGGGAATTTACAAAGGAGCAACTTTAAAACATAATAGTCCAAAAAGAAAAAAGTGAAATCTAAGTAAGTTTTAACAATTTGTGTTCTGATATATAATAGTTTTCAATTTTACTCTTTGTCTTGCCCTGTATTCGCCCACCTCCACCCCTGCCTCGACCCCGATTTCCACGCCCAGCCAGGCTTCCGGTTGCCCCCCACAGGACTAAGCTACGTAAAGGCCAGCAGCACAGGTTTACTGAAAAGGTGGAAGGAATCCTATTGGGGCTCATTTCCACCAGGGCCAGAGCTCACGATCCCTCCAGCTATGAAGGAGATTTTTATTATGACGAAGCTACTCTTGCATCGCTGGAAGTAAACTCCTTCGCGGTGTTTTCAGTGGATATAGACTGAGTGCGTATCAAGAGGTGTGTACATAACGTGTCTGCACAATGCCTAACACACACTAAGACTCACCCAGCAGCACTGTGTTTTCTTACAGTGATCGCTGTCTCTGCTCTACTCCTGCGCCCCACATGGACACTGCCGCTAATTGCTTAACACGGTACAAGGTAATGGGAATACAGAAGTACAACAAAGAGGAAATGCCTACAAAACACACAAAACACACACCCTTCCATATATTCTGAATATATTCAAAACAGTCAAAAGAATGGCAGTAATGCTGACAGCAATGCTTACCGCTTGTCCTGTTGTAAGTGCTTCCCCTGCATTATCTCACTATCATCCTTACACGTGTGCTGCCGCACTATTGTTAGCCCCACGACAGATGAGGAAACTGAGGCACAAAGCAGTGAAACACAGGGTCCAGAGTTATACACTTAAGTGCCAGAACTGGGAACTGGCCTGAGGCGGCCTAACTCTACCTTTTCTGCTCCATGCTACCTAACGTAGCCTTGGCCTCTGCTCTCTATGTGATTATGGTCACGCTGCTTAAACTGACCTCCAGATTCCTCATTTCTAAAGGAAGAGCATTAGTTTAGATCAGCCCTGAGCCTAGTCAAGCAGGAAAACTGCAAAAATTGGATTTTTTTTTTTTTTTTTTTTTACAGTTTCATCATTAACTTACAGGAGGCAATTTTGCACTTGGAATAATACACATGATGACAATAAACACTGCATTTTATAGAGTGACAGTGTATCTCCAATAAATGCAACCGGGATGAGACTAAACAAAAAATAAAAGTACAATAGATTTCAGGGACATATTTCAGGTACTACTTGCAAGTCATAAATACTGAGAATACATTACTGCTAAATCCACAATAGGAGATGTTTCTTATATTCCCAGGAAGGTATGTTGATGAAATAGAAATCAAATAAGATCATTTCTGACAAGAAGAAAGCAACAGAGAGACTTGGGGGTATTGAAGCAACAGTAAAAGCTTTGGAGTTTACAGAAAATATTTGACACCATCAAGACCTAGGGGTGTCTGAAACAAAGTTTGGTGAAAACATGACGATTCAAGTATCTGAGGAAGCCTCATTTTTCTATCAACATTAGTAACCATCTTTTATTTATTAATTGCCATCCAGGAGATTACATTAGAACCCAAACTGTAAGTATTCACACCAACCTTTAGCAATAAATTCCAGGGAACATGAAAGTGAATAAATCATCCAAGATATAAGGTACGTTACCTAAAAGGAGCTCTTCTGAAGCTTAGCAAGAGGTTGTATTTGAGAAGGAACAAATACATTGTTGCTCATTGTGAGCAAACTGAACAGTTAAGGATCATGGATTCTTCAGGATTAACTGAGCCAGAAATTAATTCACTTTGTAAAAATAGAAGTCACAAATTAAAAGCATCAACTGATGTTGGCCAAAATGCCAGCTTAGCTTTATTGGATGTAGTTGTAGTAAAACTAAAAGCAAAAAGGGTGGTTGAGTCCTAGGCCGTAATGAGGGACTTGGGGGTTTTCAGGCTTGAAAAGATGTTTCTATTTATTCCTAGAGAGTAAACAGGATGCAGCATTGGGAGAGAGGCCAATGGTAGAGCGGAGAATCTAAATTCAGGCAAGTCTTTGCAAGGATGCAGATACACTGACCTGATGGAAATGAATCTCCAAATGAAAGGGGCTCTGACATGGACCTTGACCAGGGCTCACATTTCCTTCATGTGACCCAAGGCTTCTGACGAAAGGTCAAGGTTACTGGTTTCAGGAATGATTATGAGGTCAGTTGATGGGCATCAGCACTAAATTACAATGAAACATTTGGAATAAAGTACCCTACCATGTAAAGATTTTATGATATACACTAAATTGTTACATTCAATCCCACTTACTCCTACCCTCACCAATTCCAGCTTAGATTCACAGTGCATTGGGAATTCTGTAGCTTTTAGAATGGGAAGATTCACTGTCTATTCTGAGCCTATTTACCCAAGTAATATATTTTTTTTCTAGGCAACTACTAAAAGTAAAGGTTTCTTTGAAGGGATAATATAAAATAAGTAATTAATCAAAATCAAAACCTCAGTCATTCTATCCCATTGAAGTCATCCTAAAATATGATCACTCCTCACGTTTTCATCTGTAGCTGATACGATATTGGCTGTGGCTGAGCTTAAGCAATTGTCTGAGAGCGTGATCTAAGAATACCACGTGTTATCAGTCATGGGGTGGACTTTGTCCAAATCTGAGCGTTTACTTGTCCTGCTTTGAGCATCTACAGAACTAATCTGAGTATGACTGTTCAACGATTTCCAGGCCAGCTTAGGCTAGTTGCAAAAGCCAAGGAATAAATCTACCAAAGTTTAGTAACAAGGTTTTATTTTTTAACTTATGACTTCTTTGTCCAGTGACCATGTTCTCTAAGATCCTATAAACGTATCTCACCATCAGAAATATGAACCTGACATACACAAACTTCTCAAAATAAATGATACAACAGGTATCAAGGTTGCTAAAAGAGGGATCTTACATGCCAAAAACGGGTGGTGTAACAGAAATATTAAAGTTCCATGTGCCAAATATTCCCTTAAAATAAAGGCCTCATAAAGAAATACCACCGTAGTCATTTTTAAAAAGATGTTATAACACTTTAGAAAATTCTTCTGTTCGCAAATGAAGGGGACTGTCTTGACTCGAAGGATTTCAGGGTCATGGCTTCTGGCCCCCCCAGTCCTCAGGCACGGCCACTACTCCACACCATCCAGGAAACCAGTGTCACAGAGAGAACTGACACACCCCAAGATTAAAGATTTAAAGGAGTCGTGTCACCTCTCCCGGGGGCATTAAAGATGTGAACAAGGGCAGTGCAGAGCCCCGTGTAGGTGCGGAGGGTTACGATAAAACAGACCCTTAAAACACTGAGAAACCACTGTACCCAGCCTTCCAGCGAGAAAGGCCTATTTCAACAGACCGTGAAACAGAAAGTCCCTCCTGGACGATTGTCAGGATGTGAATCTCAATTTCTCTGACTCACACTTGGATCCCTGTCCTGCCCGCGGCCGAGAACTGTAGACTATGGTAATAGAGGCTAGACAGTCCAGGGAGTCGTGGTTAACAGTGAGCGAGTACGAGGAGAGGCTGTGGAAAAGCCCCCGTGCCCCACTCTGCTACTTATTTCTTGAGTTAATAAACTCTCCGAGCCTCAGTTTCTTGATCTGTAAACTGAGGCTAAGACAAGGATGCAAGAGTTCCCAGCACATAACCCAGGTTCATGAGACAGTGCCGCCTATTATCATGGCTGTTACCTCTGAACGTGTGAAGAAGTGAGGCCCGGCACGATTCATTGGGTTCCTTGTGTTAAGAACTGCATTCTTAACACAGCTATTCCTCCTGCAAAAAGCCCGAAGGGGCTTCATACAGAAATACCACCTTCATTTTTAAAATTTTTTATTTAAAAGTTGACCTGACTTCTTTTCAAATGACTCCTTATACTTTTCTTTGGAGATAAGGTATATCTGTCCATCTGTTCATCACATATAGAGGCTACTCAGGGCAAGATTACTAATCAGCCTTGGTTGCCCTTCCCTTTAGGCTATAATCATTTAATTAGTCAGAGGTTTCATTGGCAAGGTGTGAAC